ATACGTAGTGATCACCTTGATAACACTGAGAGAGCGTTATATATTTGTGAAAAAGCTACGATTACCGTATACCATCCCTTCCACAAATTCGGATTCATGTAGTATGAATAAAATTTAGCCATTACAACAAGGAATTCCCATAATAGGTTGAACACATGTCCTGTCATTTTCAGTAAAATTATCTCATGTCAAGGCTTTAAAATTATTTCCGATCGACCTCGTTAACCGGCCGTAGCTCACATCCACTTGACCGAGCGTGACAACGACCTCCGGAAGCTATAAAACAACTGGCAACTAAGGCACATATTATCTATGAGCGCTCTACCATGACAAAACCGCTTTCAGCTCGAGCAACCACATCGGTCATAATCGTCGCCATGCCGTCACATCCATTAGGGCACTCAGTGTTGCTGAAGGTTTCGTCACATCGTAACTATTCCGGGGATTGAAGAACGGCCAAACAGTCTCGTGCACATCTATAAGGAAGACAATGAAGTAATGAGGTCATTATATTCTAATTGTTGTCAGTGTCTTAGCGGCACCCTGCGCATCTCAATAGTTACGGACATGATCGTGACACCTGTAGTGAAGGGATGGTGGTTATTGAGTGAGACATCAAACTTCGTCCGGCTGAAGAACAACTACAGACAATTTCAAGTGCAGATTTTTTAACTCTGACTACTTTAAAGTTTCCTTATAAAGCTCGAAAAACCAGTCAAACGCTCAGAATCACACAGAATAATTTAAAAAAATTCAGGAGAAACGCAACGCTTGACGCACTTATCCAAATGAACAGTGTCTGAAATGGATAACTTCTCATCCCCATAGTCCTAAAAAACTCAAGAGAGAGTCAGCTCAAGTAAACGGGCGATATAGCAATAAAGGCTACCAAAGGTATGCAACTAATAACAATTTTCGACATTTCCTCTTTTAAAAGAACTCTGTACAGCATCTATCCGTATGAGCGAGTGAGAATAATCTCCATCCCATTGCCACGTTTTTGGTATAAATTCCGGAAAATAAAGGACATGACATTCTGGGAAGTCTGGTGCGTACATCCCGACCAGCCGACTGCAGAAAACTGGCATCGACAGCAGTCAAACCAAGAGCAAAGAAAGGAAGACACACCGATGAGTGAAACAAAGGCAATCAATGTTACCTCAGGATAGGGCGTAGTAAGGGGTTGATAAGGACGCAACAAAACTCAACAGGGACAAAGGCAACAAAAAACGCCATACATCAAAGATCCATCGACAAAAAGCTGTCTTACTATATTATGGGACTAACGAAACATACCTAAAGTTTACATAATACCTGCTAACAGCAAGGAGCGGTCGCGCCGCAGTGCTTACTATTTGATGTGATAATGCAGAAACCACTACTATGGAATTTTATTCATTTTCTGATCTCAAAAATCTCAACTTACATGGTAGGCTGGCCCGACGAGATTCATCGTCACCGCTTTTACTCAACACCATGTCGCAGCACGACCGTACGCGTCTGCATACGTGTAACTCAGTCAGCCATACATTGCGGTAAAACGGTAGTATTGTAGTGAATGAACTCAAAGTGTTATAAAAGAAAATCTGATGCATGTTAAACTTTATTATTCGTTTAGATATTGAAGAGCCCAGTTAAACAACGAGAAAATGACAAGAAAGAGTATCAGATTATACTATACACCAAAAAGATCCAAGACACAGGTAAGCGAGATCAATGCTGCATCTCTTGGGCTGCTTTCTCGGCATTACGTAGCTTTAATAGCAAATCACTCGTTTTAACCACATCCACAGGACGTTTCTCTTCCTTAAACATCAGGTTATGGCGGAAATTAAGAAAATCACGCATGATCTTCCACCATTAACAAATAACAATAAGTGGAAATAATAATAATAATAATAAAATAGCAATAATAATTGCAATGATAATCGCTACCTTATTCCTCAACGTCAAATCGGCTCCTTTGCGGACTAAAGCAATTGCTGCATCTTCTCGACCTTCCTCACAAGCAACGAATCTGCCAACTTGGTGATAAGTAGGGAATTACAACGAAGTTATGAAAAGAATCGAATCGACTTACAAGGGTGTGTTCCCTTCCGAGTCTCTGGGATCGACGTGAATTTTTGGACGTGCAAGCAGCATATGCACTATCTGCAATTTGAAATAATCTTATCTCCTTACTTCGAAATTCCCTCTACCACTACGTCTATAAGGTGCTCGGTTTATTCGAAACAGTTGCACAATCTCACTTCCAGCACAATAGTCACTTAAACAACAAGCGGTTATTGTAAACAGGGGTTATCGACAGCTGCTCTGTACTTCCCTACCGTATTTTACTGTGACTTTAAGCTCACTCTCCCTCGCGTAAGTGTCGTTGCTACTACACATACACCTGGTTTGAGAAGAAGAAAGGGATGGGTCCAGAGAGGATATACGTGACCATTCAAATCAAAACGATCTCTACACCGCTTTTGTAGACGATTACCCTCTGAAGAGTTGCAACCTCTTCCCACGCGGAACACGCGATATGCTTGACCCTCAACCGCGAGCAGATGAGTGACAACTCACAATCAGTAGAGCTGGTGAGTTATGAACAGAAATTTAGCCACACCTTCGCAGAAACTTATGGGACAGTTCACGATGAAAATGGTTCCTGTGTTCAACTGATGGGACAAACTTTAGACTTCAAGAGGTAGCACACAAGTCCTCGCCGGGTCCAAAAACGGCCAAAGTGGAGCGTAAACAGGGCCTAAATACTGTTTTATCGTACGCCACAGCCAGAAGTGTCCTTATTTAACGGCTCTATAGAGGCTGCAGCATTCATGATAAATACTGAAGTTGCAAGTTTAAACGAATGATTGTCCGGACCCCTCCCCGTCGTGATAGGGAGAAACAGTTCTTGAAATTTTTTTCTACTTATATTAACCAGCTCTTTACGCGATTGCGCATGACTGAAATCTCATCCA